AACAGAAGGCCACCGTTTCCTCGAAATTTTTAAACAAATTTCCTGCTCAAAGTTAATAATATTTTTCGAACCCAACGCACATTGATCTTCATCGTCACCTCCTGGATATTGATGTGCTTCAATTTGTAGAAATATCGACAACTTTCGGCAAGGAATTTGTTCAAAAATTTGAAAACTGTTCAGCGTTCTGTCACCCCTTGAGAAAGTGTAGGTATTCCCCTCCGATTTTGATGAAACTTATGTATGTTGTAGAGGACTCAAAACTAAAGGACACGTTTTTTTGGATAATACGCGGTTCCAAGGAAGGAAACTATCCTTGATTCTTCAATTCCACATATAAGAATGCTGTTCTTGCACGTGTTCATTACGGTAATAACCCACTTGTGAAAAATGATGGAAATTGCAAGTGATAGTTGTTGAAATTTTGGGGGTGAAAACCCCCTGCAAATTTTATTTTTCTGATAAAAAAAAATATGGCTGACAATTTTATGAAATCCATTATTCGAAAGGGCATGAAAGTATACGGAAGACCTTTCTTGGAATTTTTCCGGAATCAAAGTTATGAAATCAGTTTTTTTTTCTAAGATTCGATGATTCCAAACGAGATTTGTTAACTATTAACGAATGCTAGAGTTGATTATGACCAACTGAATATTCGTTAATAGTTACCGAATGGTGCACTTGAAAGGTGAAAGTCGAATTGAACAAGGCGAGCGCATTCAAATATGCATTTGTTAACTATTAACAAATATAGTTGAACGCATCATGTCAAAAAATGCAATGTGGCTGATATAATATCACTTTGACGTTGATCCTACAGGTTTTGTGCGTCCGCGAAAGCGGGGTAAAGGTTCCATGAGACGATACATGATTAAATCTCTTGATTATATCTGTTGATTACACACCGCAGCAAGCGATGATGTATTCAAACAATGCAAAATATTCATGCGCACGTCACCCATACCCAAAGATAGCTAATCAGTTCAGCAATCATGCATTATTGACAATCGAATATTTCGAATATTTCTGTAATCCTGTTGACTTAGATCCGCACAGTTCCTGATAGCAAATCTGAAAGAGTTTTTTTCTGAACCCGAGGCGTCGTTTCGACTCACGCATCGAACCCTTCCTCTCAATGTTTTTCCCCAACTAGCTGCCTTATTATCACTTCGAATTCCCCTCCCTTTTCAACGGAATTCACCCACAGACTAATCTCCCAACTCCAAAAACTTGTCGAACTCCTTAAACACGACGTCATTGTAAAAAAGTCAAGAAATCTAACAACTTCAATAATCAAATAAACCACTAGAAATACTATCTAACCTAAAACTGTCCTCCGTGAGCTGGAGCGTCCTAAGAATTTGCTTCCAGTTCCAAAAATAGTGAACCAATTCGTCCGCTCGATGAATTCATCGAGAAATCTTTAAAGAATTAATGACTTCGTTCTGTCACCTCTTTCCCTGACTCCCCTAAACCCTCAGCTCATCAAAAAAAAACTTGAAAAAATGTCTTTCAATTGATCACAAAACTCATAGCCTCTTCACACCTCCTCAGGGCGTCTTGACTAGGTTTTCACCAGCTCTAGTCCTAGTGATGAGTAACGGTGTCTTGGGTACACTATCAGGATTATCCTGCATAGTGATCTTGACCCTCTGAGCGGCAGGACTCGAAGGCGACGGGTTACTGAGTCGATGATTGGAAACAGATCCTAAGGAAGGGGATTCCCCGACCGAACACATCGAGTCCCTATCATTCTTCCCATTCACAAGATGATCGCCATGAACCGGAGTTATCGGACCATCTCCTACGTCTTCAGTACTCGGGACCTTTCCATTAGTTCCTAATTTTTCAGCTTCAGCGGGAGAAAATGATTTCCTCGGCGGTTTGACTGGATCTGCAGAGGATTCAGGAACGGAACCAACGAATTTGGCAGTTGGTTCTTCGTCGGATCTTATTTCTTCAGGAATTGCACTCGTGACTAGCGGCATTGCCTCAGGTTTACTTCCATTCGAAGAGATTTTCGGTTGAACTGAGTTTGTAGCTTCTAGCAACGACATCCTGAGGTCCTTCAACTCAGTGCCATTCTCCACGTCATTGCCATCATGTCCTCTGGAATTCCTCTTCCTGGCTTTCCTACAGAAGTCACCTTTGTACGCCGCAACACCGATCAGAGCTGCTAGAACTCCCAGAAGAACTCCCAGAACAACGTAGGAGCCCATTCCCTTCTTGGTTTCAGTCGTTGCTGAAGCTCCTGCGGTCTGAGTTCCTCCAATCACCACCGAGGGCTCCTCTGGAGATTCTACAGGCTTCGACTCCTGCTGAACCTTTTCGTTCATCGCTTCATTAGGTTTCTTCTCTCCTTCTACCGGATTCAATGAGTTCGGGAGAATGGGCTCTTCGATCTCTGGTTTACTTCCGCCTGGAACTACCATGAACCCTTCCTCCTCTGGCCGCGAATCCTCCGTTGACGGGGTGGATGGAGCTGCTGTCGTTGATTCTGATGCCCCCCAGGAGAACAGCCCGAAGAAACCGTTAAAAAGCCCGGGAGGTGTCGTCGTTGTCGTCGGGTTTGGGGTGACGTTTTTGATGGACTCAGGAGTTTCCTCTTCCGGAACTTCAGGTGTGATGTTGTCCCAAGTTATCGGTGGGATCAGAAGACCTGGAGAACCAAGACCTGAACCGTCATCTTCATCGTCTCCTGATCCTTCAGAGAGAACATTTGGACTTTTCCAGGGGTCTGAATCATTTGCCGCGGTTGTTGTTGGTGCTGTGGGTGAAGGAATGGTCGAGGGATGCTTCTCCTCTTCTGTGAAGAAGAGTCCTTCATCCTTCGCAGATGATGTGGAAGGAGCTACTGTCAGGGCAGCTTCTATGGCGTTTGGAGTGGTCTCTTCGGGCTCCTGAGGTGTCACAGGTTCCGGGAGAAAAGAGGTGTCACTTTCCTCGGGGATGTCGCTGTCCTCGAGGTGATCGAAGGCGTCACCTGAGCCGGACTCTCCGGATCCTTCTGGAGGGGTTTCAGGCTGGTCGTTTTGCATCCCTGCATCTTGATCCTGATGTTCGAACTTGCAGATGACCTCCGTCTCAGGTTCAGATAGGAAGACTCCCTTCAGCGTTCCTGGGCCTGCGCAGACCGCCTTCTTCGAGATGATCACCCTTTGAAAGATCAAAGCATCTCGGATTTTCAGGGTTTTACAGTCGCAATTCAGTTTGTTGGAAGAAATTTCTAGCAACTTTAGGTCTTTTAGGTCAACCGTGTCCACTGGAATTCGAAGTAAGGAGTTACTGCGAAGGTTCAGGACACCCAGGTGGGTCGGACCCTCGAAGGTTCCGCGCCCCAGGTGGGTTAAACGATTGTGTGAGAGGTCCAGGCTGAGCAGGTTTCGAAGTTTTGAGAAAGTTCCCGGCTCGATCCGACGGAGCTTTCCATGGGAAAGATCCAGGTGTTGCAGGGTTGTGATGTTCCCGAAGATTGACGCAGAGAGGTGTTTACCGACGGAGGTAACCTTCAGACTTTTGAGCTGATCGGTATTGATGAACTTGATGTCATCGAGGTAGCGGCACTGGGCAAGTGTGTCGTTGTGCTGCAGGGTGCAGAGGCCTGATGTTGGCGCTGGTGTCGTCAGGAGGAGCAGGAGCCCCAGGGCGAAGAGGATTGGCGGCATCTTCAGCATTTTGGCGGGTTTCGTTTCAACCGATCTGTAAGTGTGAAAAAATTTATGAGAAATTGACGGATGAATGGTCATTTTTTGTGTAGTAGAAAATGAATGTCGCGAGGAATACACGGCGGTATTGACCCGCGACCTTCAATATTATAGGTATATGCACTTTGGCTCAATATCGTAGAATTTTGATCTTTTCACACTTTTCAAAGCAGTTCAGTGGGCGTAAAACGGTGGTTTTCCACACGACGTGCGTAAAGTGAATTTCGACTGCCTAAAGCGAAACTTTACCCACGCTCTTGAACTTTAACTTTAAAAACAACCACCTTACCCCTATTATCAATCAGAACAGTGAACTCGGCAGGTATCACAAAAAATAGGATGTGTTACACGTGCGAACGTAAACTTCCAATTTTTCGCGCTAGTAACGCAATAAAAGTGTAGTATATTATGTTTATAGAGCGTGAAGTTCCACTTGTTCTCACGAACGTGTAAAATATCCCATTTTTTATCACTTGTGTATAAAATAAAATTTTAAATTCCACTTTTCACACATTGCAATGAAAAATAGGGTTCTACACTCGTGCGAAAAATGTTCTTTGACACTTGGGAGGGCAGCGCCACACACCTCCCATGGGTCAACAAGCACTTTTATGCACTCGTATCGAAATATACTATTTTTGATACCTGCCGAGTTCACTGTTCGGAACGGTAGCGCGAGCAAAATTGTTATTTCGGTGTACGAGTGTCAAACTTTACACACTTGAAATACACTTTACGCACGCTGCGCGGAAAAAATCGCTTTACGCACACTAAATCATTTCAAAAAGTGCACTTTTCAGACAGGTATCACAAAAATGCACTTTCAATTAATCCTCATTTTTCAAATTACATCAAGAAAAATCACATTGACAGAACAAAAATTTTAAAGATGTTTCTATTCAGACTATCATCCAATAGTATATTCCAATACGAGTGCGTAAAAATGATTTTCACCCGTGGGAGGTGTGTAGCGCTACCTTCCCGGGGGTCAGAAAACACTTTTCCCACGAGTGTCGAACCATATTTTTCATAACAATGTGTGGAAAGCGGAATTTTGCGCATGCGTGCGTAAAATTTCCCTTTACGCACAAGTGATGAAAAGACGTTCAAACGAATGCTCCATTAGGACGTATAAATTCGATGTTTCCGCATTAGCACAATTTCCATTCTTCCACAGTAATATAACAAATCAATCATTCACTTCCTCGTATTTCACTATATCATCATTTTTCCGTTCACATCAAGAGAAATATTGACAGCGAAAACAAACTTCAGAGATTTTCCTATTCGGATAGATTACTATTCACACAGTATTTTGTTTTTTCTCACACTGATTGACGTTGCTGGCTAACGGACGATTCAACTCGGACGAAATACAATTACATAAGGTGACCGAAACTGATAAGGCGGTATGGGTGTATTGTCGGGTATTTTAAACCCTCTTACCCGTTACTAGCGGCGAGTTGTAGTGAACTTCGTCAGATACGGCATTCATGGAGTATTAAATCAGAGATAAAGTGTGGATATTTATCGCGACGCCATGATGATAAGAATGATAGCGTTCATCGGGTCTCAACTAGGCTGAGGTAACTTTCATTCTTTGCTCTGTTAGAAAATATTGTGATCAATGGGAAGTATTATGATCAATACAAATCACCAATTATTGAGAGTTATGATGCATGTTATCAGCATTTGTAGTTAATTGAATGCATAATTGTATTACTATTGGGTTGGAAAGTGTACGCCCCTGGCGCAGCAGGATTTTTTGGTTTTACAACATTCCTAAACATCGGTATCGTTTTCTTTCCTCGGAAATATATTCTAGACGAGGTGGATTGTTTCTCAATTCGGCCACCAATTTTTTTCAAGGTCTCCAAAAAATTTGAAAAAAATCAGTGGTTTAGTAGTCATTAGAAGTACTCTCTGTGAATTTTTTTAGATTTTTCTAAACATCCGTGATCGAGGTAAGTGGATCTGAAGGAATTTCGAATAATTATAGATATCAGGAGAAGTTGACGTCAGAGAAACGGCAGTTTAAAATGAAAAAATGTAGGTTTGAACCTGAATTTTGTCAATAATTTGTTTTATTACAGCAAAAAAGGCGTGTAGAGTGTTTAAACTTTATTAATAGTTTTAAAATTCCGATATTTTTATTTTTCATTTAAAAAATTGAGGTAATATGATGATTCGAATTCAGTATTTATAATATTAATGAAAGTGGAAATGGGATGGACGTAACTTCGAAGAAAAAAAATCTTTTTGGGTAATTTTTGACTTTGTCATCAATACTGACATTTTGAGACACATGAAATTAGGATTCCCTCCACTAATCCATTTCAAACAGTAAAATAGGCAGAAATTTTCTGGGCAATTTTTCCTCAACATTTCTCTTCGTGCAGTGGCATTGAATGACGAACGAAAGGATGAATCAAACCGCTGGAATCAATGACGCACTGGGACTTTTAGACCGCGGGGAAACCGTCCAAAGGCTTTGTCTACCATTATTCACCATTAATTTGCATAGCCCCCGAGATACCTCGATGACGTCAAAAGATCCTTAAAGAATGCTTTCAAAATGAGGAGGGAATTTTGGCGAATGGATATCGACCAAAGTTTAACCCCTCACGGCGCCCATATTGCGCGGTATGTTTACTCGAATTCGCTGTTCGATACGCGATAATTTCTTCGCGTAGCCCGGGCGAAGGGTAGAGCTACTTTAAATCCCAGAATGTTTGCGGTTCACCACTATCGTTGCGCATTATATCATGAATGTATTACATATCGAAATATTGGAACAGCATCACAAAAAAATTACGAAAACAATAAATATTATACTTGAAGATTGACGATTCGTCCACGCGATTTGAGTGAGTTCATTTGCGACAAAATCATACTTGAGTGCAAGAATATTTTAAAGCATGAGACCTTTCTCGGGCCACGTGAGTTGAGGTGTCTGAACAATTGAACTGAACAATTGAAGAACAATTATTTGTCTCAAGAAAATATGTTTCAGACATTAGAAATTTTTTTTCTCAGTGTAAGTAACAATACTCAGAAACCTGAGGATACATGAACGAAAAAATTTAATAGAAAAACCTATCGAAGTCGTTAGAAAATTCTATTGAATTTCTATTGAAATGTTCAAAAGAAAATATTCACTAGAAAAAGTCAATAGAATTCAATCTTTCTATATAACTTACTCTATTGAGATAATTTCTATAGAATTTCCTCGGCCCAAAGTTTTTTCGTTTGATTTTCATGATGAGAAGAAAAGAAAAATAGAATGAAAAAAACTTGAGTCGAAAATTTGAGTCGAGCAAATTCTATAGAAAATATATGAAAAGAATAAGTTATATAGAAAAATCGAATTCTGTTAACTTTTTCTATTGAACATGTCAATAGAATCAGTCAAAAACTAATAGAAAGTTGAATAGAAAATCAATAGGATTTTCCAACGGATTCGATAGGTTTTTCTATTAAATTTTTTCGTGCGTGTATGAGGGGTGAATGGATATTTCAAATATTTACAGACATAGTAACACTTATAAATTATAAAATTCCCCGCTTTTTCACAGATTTTTTTCTCTCATAACCTTCCACGGCTCACACTGCACCGATCGGCTCACTTTGAATTACAATAAAAATCGTTTTTTCCGTCTTCAGAGAAACATGTGACTATAATTATCGTCATTCAACATGGCTTCTAGCAGATCATGAGCCTCGATGACACGTATTTTTTCTAATTGTTCTCCACTCGTATCATTGTTCCACTATTTCTGTATGCAAAATCCTTCTGTTCGGCGCATTGCTGAGGTAAAAGAGAATATATCCGATTACGCATGTCGTGGACAAGCAAGCAAACCGCGTGTTATACACCACTGAAAGTCGAAAGTGGTTTGGCCTCCCAGGCCTCGTCCTCATCATGCCGCCAAACAGTCACGCAATATTATTTATTTACTCGGATGAATGTGATAAAGGACGGTTTTCGGACGAAGTTCGTCATTCAGTTAGTACCACTCAACAAATTTGAAAAAAAATTGGGGGAGGTTAGGGTAAAATGGACACTTTTGACTTTTTTAAAATATTAGTGACGGGTTGAAATGCTGATGAAATTTAATAATTTTTTTTCAATACAAAAAATAGTTCCTTCCCTTTGTGATGAGCTTAAACTGAGCTCTACGGATACATTTGTTTCTGAGTTGTGAATAATTTTAAAAAAGGCTAGTGTCCATTTTACACTACCCTCCCCTAAGAATAGAAAATGTGGAATTTGGCTCAACAATAATTTCTGAGTTGATTTCTCAGTTTATGATCTTTTCCTTCGAGAAATACACGGGAAAAAAATATACTTGAACTGAGTATAAAATATTTTTGAATCAAGTATATTTTATAGTTTATTGTATAGTTTATTGTTTATTTTATATTTTTCATCACGCTGTGACGAAAAGTGAATTTCCGCCACATTGTGATGAAAAATATTGTTCGTAACTCGTGAAAAAATGTTTTTTGCACTCGTTACGAAATATACTATTTTGTTAGTGATGTTACGTTCAGCGAGTGCCGAACTGTGCCATTTTTCGTGTACTAGTAAACGAAAAGTCTTTTCATTCACAAGTTTGGACTTTTCGTTTACTAGTAAACGAAAAGGCACTTTTCGAAAATTAGTAGTCAATATCATGAAATTGTTCATAGAATTCCAATTTCCGTCCGAGAGTCTATTTCTGAAAATTGATAAATTTTAAAAACTTCTCTTCTCAACATATCGTTCGTTAAACAATACAAACTAGTATATGTTTTATAGATATTTGTCAAGGAAAATTTTAGTCAATGCTCAATTGCCCTCATTTGCATTAAATTTTTCGATTGATTTTTAGAATATTTTTTTAAAATAAACTCCGGTGTTTTCTACTTTGAGGTTTCCGTCTTGTAAAGGTAATAAGATAACCAGTAATTGAGAGAATTCCGACCATTTGCTTATCCTCCCATTAAGAAATAATCTTGAAGTCAACAAAATTTTGATGATTACTTCCATACAAATTTCTCTAGAAATAATCAGTGACTTTCTAGACATTAGGAACTATCGCTTTTGGAATTTAGAAAATTTTTCCTTAAAACTAGTGTTTTTCTTCTATGTACTTCTGTCCTTGAAATTTCAGTGAAACTAAAATGTGATAAAGATATCCAAAAAGTGGACCGGAATTTTCAGCCAAAAATTTTTAAAAGCGTGATATTTTCTTTTAAGGCGTAGTCTCGAGTTACAGGGAACTCTCGTTATAGTCGCACTCTCCCTGTCCGTTTTTTATCGGCTAGAGTGCAGGGTGCACCTAATCTCCAGTGACATAATCCTAAATCTTGGGAATTTTGTCCCTAAGTAATTCTGATTCATATCGATAATCCCTGAAAGGAATTTCGAAAAAATAGAGATCAATTCCGAAAAATGGCGGATATACTATCCCGAAAAACTATAACTTTAAAAAAAAAATTTATCATTAGGTATTCTTCCAACTGATTTACTGCACTGAGAGAAATTTTCTAGAAAAATTTATGTGCTAGCATCATATACAGTCACAATGTGCACGCTTGAAAAAAAGACTGTGTAGCACTAGAAAAATTCGTGCGACATCAGAAAAACCTTTTACACACGGAGAAAATTTTTCTAGAAAAATTCAAGTACGAGTACTGGAAAAAATTACAATCCACCGGCTATGAAAAATTCTAGTGCTGTTAAGGTAAAATTTCTTGGTATTTCTGGTAAAATTTCTGGGAAATTTTCACAGAAATACAGGGAAAAATTCACGTTTTCCCCAATAAAATTTCTAATGCCGGCACTGGAATTTTTTCCTGGCCGTCACTTTGCGCCTCTTTTCCTGTGCTAGCACTAGAATTTTTCTCAAAAATTTCTCTCCGTGCAATATTCATTCAGCACCAACGACGTGGAAGACATTAAAAACCAAAGTTCCATTTCGCCCCATTCTCTCCTACCGAAGTAAGAAACTTACTTTTTTTTAATTCGATGCGATGACCTCGGTGGAGCTGTGATGCGGCTTCGACGACATCTGCAACAGATTATAATGCAAATGTGTCATTTCAATGTCCAGTTTGTATCACCAACAGAATAAAAACGAATCACAAGAAAAAACATGATGTTTTTCATCACCGACAGGTTTGTAAACCCGCAGAGTTCTGTTGCAGAAAAAAAAAAGATAAAAACGAAAAAGAGAAACCGAGAAACATCGAGGATTAAGAAAATACCCACAATCTCTCACGTGTGGGTTTTTTTTATCGCCAAGAACTTTATGGGAAACGAGAGAACTAACGGTAAACTCCACCTTGTGATCCAGTTAATGCACAGTTGAACCTATCAGAGACGTCTCGAGTCCACGACAATTACGCCATTATCATTATCTCGGATATAATCCGAGGACTTTGTTAACCTGGCGCCTCCCATTACGTTTAATCCTCCTATCGTGAGTGATAAGAATCGCTCCGATATTTTCATAACAATTTTCCCGGCGGAAAAATCGCCCGAGGTACTAAATTTAATTTAACGATGTTTAATTACAACGTTTGAACATTTTCATTCAATTATATTGATTGAGGTTGAGTAGACACTAGCAATTATGAAAAAAATGACTCGCATTGTTCACATTGTTCGCCCGATTCCTGGAATCACTTGACAGAGTAATTTTCACCCAAAAAATAATATCTTTTTTTAAGATTTCAGAGATTTTAGATAATAACTTTCAAGGATGATGACGAAGATTAAATATTTTTCACTTCAGTTATTCTAAAAAGTTCCCCTCTCTCGTGCTCTTCCGTGAATATTTATTTTGGAAGGGGGAGAGAATATTTTTGTAACCGACGAAGCAAACATTCATGTTCATCCTCCGAAATGTTACTCGTGTCAATTGAAAAGTTGACTTCTATGCTATCATTTTCTGCTATACCAACTCTCAATTTTTACTAGGTTCAACAGTAATTTTGTCACACTGAGAAAAACGCCTTTTTTTGAGAAGTACGTCTTTACTTATATCAAGAAACTCGTGGCTTGAAATCTTTCAAGAAGAAAATATCTTGCACTGAGAAAAAAAAGATGTAAAAAAGAGAAAAAAAGAACTTTCGTCAAGAAATTTTGTCTTGCCCCAAAGGCGAAAACAATTTTTTGGTGACAAGAAAGCGATTTCTCAAACCAAGGAAAATTGAAAAAGAAATTCTGGCTATTCGATTCAGTGTACTTTAAAACATTACCTTCTGTTTTTTTTTCTATTTTTAGAGTCTTCTAGTAGGTGAATTATAAATTTCAACATAAATCCCATAAGAGCCCGCGTATAAGGAAAAATTTGTTTATTTATTACTGGCGACACTATTGCGATTAATTTTTTTTAGCCTCAAAGAAGTTAGTTTTGTATGTTCTGCTGTCACCCGAAAAAATTATAGAATTTTCCTCGAAAGTGAAAAAATAAGATTTGCTGAAACTGGCTAAGCACCCTTAATCATAAGTTTGTAATGTCTTCGAGAATACCGCAGACATCGCGGGTACAGATTCCCGCGAGTGATAAGAATATGCAAAACGCGTCAGAAAAGGGGAAATTCTGATGTTGGATTTTGGCCGAAGATAGGGGTCACTCACGTATGATCTCATTCAGCATACGCTGGGGACTCGTCCGCTGCGAGTTGTCAGTTTTCTCTGTATGTTGTTTGGTATTACGTGTAATCGGTAAAGAGGTCATGACGACTACAATGCACTACTGCAACACTTCATTCACTGCACGTGAGGTTTTTTGTTCAACGAATTTCAACATGTTACAGCTGGGGGAATGATGTTTTTGCGTACGCGGAATCAAATTGGACGGAAGGAGTATCGGAGCGGAAAACAGAGGCACACAGGAAAACTCAGTTTTGATTTTCAGGGATATGTCACTGATTTTGAGGAATCTATCACCAATTATTGCCCCCATCAAAAAATGTATTAAGAAATATATAATATGGGCCAATTCCATATATTTTTCTAATTTATAAAGAATATATAAAAAAATATATTAAACATATATTTTCTATATTTTTAATAATAATGAAAAATAACAGCAATAATTACGATTATTATTAATAACAGTTATTATTATTTTGATTTTATACAAATTATTAAATTATTTTATATATATATATATTTTTTATATTTTTTTTTATATAAATTGTGCCAATTAAAGATATTTTTTCAATATATTTTACAAAATATAAATTTTTCTGTGGGGGTGGTGATAGATTATTAGAGATTTTTATCACTGGCATTTGCACGGAGAAAAAAGTTGGAGAGAAATTACCGGACAAGTCAAGATATATTGGCGTTTTTCTATTTTTTTGGCTGAAAGTTGCTTTGACGTTCCATTACATGAGTGAAGGATGTAGTAAAGTTATAAAATTTAGTTAGGACTAGTTAGCATAATCGAGTTGCATTCCGCTGTGAAATTTCAATTTATCAATTCAATACTTTTAGTTGTGTAACAATAAAATAGAGCAGTTGATGTAAATAACGCTTTTCGAAATTTTACCATGCCGAGGTTGGTAGAAAAAAATTGATCTCCATCACAAAAAAATTCGTGCACATATGTGAAGGATTACGCAATATTAGGAAATTATTACAGTCATAGGACAATCTTTGATGGCATAAATGGTAAATTTCACAGCTTCGGCGCCAAATTACCCTCACGTTTAGTAAATTAACCCTAAAAAAATTACTCTTACAGTATTAGATACCAGAGGCTACTACAAGCACATGCGTTAGAAGCACAGTTTAACAATCAATTTGAGAGATATTCTCGTAAAGATCTTTTTCCCCACATTCTCACCCCCCTCAGACGACATTACGCTATATCGATTTGCTCCATAAATCATTCAGCAGCACCTGCATTATTTCTTTGAAGCATTCAGAGTAAAAAACTAAAATGGCAACATTGAGACTCACGTCGATGTTTCACTTCAGGGACTCGGTGCTTCATATATATTTAGCTGTTTTACTTATTCAACTCTTCAAATAATTTTACAAACATCAGTGATAAAAACGTTTGGAGGAGGTCAGCAGGTTGGGAATGAAGTTAAAAAATTCTACAGAATTTCATTATTTATTTCTCATAGGAATTACCAATTATTCTGGTTAAAACTACATCCGCCAAGCGCAACAGTATTTTTTATTAACAGTACAGCTCTTGACCTCAATTTTTTAAATCTTGTTGAATTTTCATATTACAATAAATGATTTACTCTGTTGCTCATCACAAAATTGTCGAGCTTTTATTGCAAATTTAACAAATGGTTGTCGAATGAAATTAAAAAATCGTTTCGGAAATTTAATTAATTAGTTGGTAAATTTCATCAACTAGTTGTTGAAATTCCTCTCAAACTTCGCTTGAAAAAATACAAATAAACTTTACTTGAGAAATAAAAAAATTTCGGTATTGTCTAGTGGTTAGGATATCTCCGTCTCAAATTAATAGGCATTATCACTTAGTTCTTGTAATTCACCAAATAATTTTCTTCGTGTAACATTTCCTCTCAAACTTCGCTTCAGAAAATAAAAGTAAACTTCACTTGAGAAATCAAATTTTTTCGGTATTGTCTAGCGGTTAGGATATCTCCTTCCCAGATTAACTGTTATTTCACTTTCCATTTATCAATGAAACCCCTCGACTCAGATCAACTAGTTGACACAAGCGTCAAACAATTTGCTCAAGAAATTTGCAAATCCGCCGTTGATGTAATATCTGTGAAGCGGGTTTCAAAGATCGCTCATTGAAACACAGTGAATGCGTACCGTCTTTCAACGAACAAACGGTTCATGCGGTGCTGAGCAACACGGAGAGATGAAATAAATATATGCGTTGGGTCAAGGGGCATCTGCCCCCCTCCCCTAGCCCCCGTGGGACATCGCCATCGAGAGTATATCACGACCCTGACGGCCAATTCCTATGGATGAAATATTCTCCGCTACTTGAGGCCAGACAACGTCAACGTCCTTCGAATATCGGTGAGACGTTTATTATAATCCACTCTTTGTTTTTTTAAACCGAGACGAGAGATTCGTCGACTGCTACTGATAATTATTAGATAACTCGAGGCTTGAGACATTGCAACAAATATTTTTCAATTCCTTTCGCTTAATTTATTCGCGATTCGATTGATTTCTACAAATTAATTCATTTTTCCTGTCAGGCCTTTAGGATTTTTCAATTCCATCAATTTATGTTGATAATAAGAGATAATGATTGAGACCAATAATTGTTAATAGTAATTAAGATCAATAATTGTTGATAATAAATTAATATTAACAATTATTGATCTCAATCATTATCTCTTATTATCAATAATAATTAATTGTTAATATTAATTTATTATTAACAATTATTAAATGCATGAATAATTCAAATTATTTACATGATTCTTTCGGTGTAAAAGCGATAAAAAAAATTATGACTAGTAATTCAACTCATTAGGCATTCAAAGAGGAACATAATATTTTTTATTTCCTTTGAAACGGGAAGTGTGGGAGAAAAACTGATTGGTTCTCCCTGTCGTTATTTTCTTATACTACTTGTCAATAATATCCATAGAATCAATAACATTATTTTAGCTAAATTTATTCGTAATTCGATTGATTTCTACAAATTAATTCATTTTTCTTGTCGGGTCTTCAGAATTTTTTCAATTCCATCAATTTGTGTCGATAGTAAGAGATGATGATTGACATTATTAATTTATTATTAATAATTATTTAATACATGAATACTTCAAATTATTTACATGATTCTTTCGGTGTGAAAGCGACAAACAAAATTATGGCTAGTAATTCAACTCATTAAGCATTCAAAGAGGAAAATAATATTTTTTATTTCCTTTGAAACGGGAAGTGTGGGAGAAAAACTGATTGGTTCTCCCTGTCGTTATTTTCTTATACTACTTGTCAATAATATTCATTGAATCAATAACATTATTTTAGCTAAATTTATTCGTAATTCGATTGATTTCTACAAATTAATTCATTTTTCTTGTCGGGTCTTCAGAA